TGGGCTAATTTTTCTATTTTTAGTAGAGGCAGGGTCTTGCTCTTGCTCAGGCTGGTCTTGAACTCCTGACCTCAAGTGATCCTCCCGCCTTGGCCTCCCAGGAGTGCTAGGATTACAGGCGTGAGACATCCCACACTCGGCTGTTCCTCCATTTTTAACTCATTAATATGAGTAAGAAATGTCCAATTTCGAATCAAAAGTTTAGTTTATTGGCAGGGTGCAGTGGCTCACACCTGTAATCCTAGCACTCTGGGAGGCCGAGGCGGGCGGATTGTTTGAGCTCAGGAGTTTGAAACCAGTCTGAGCAAGAGCGAGACCCCGTCTCTACTAAAACTAGAAAGAAATTAATTGGACAACTAAAAATATAAAGAAAAAATTAGCCAGGCATGGTGGCGCATGCCTGTAGTCCCAGGTACTTGGGAGGCTGAGGCAGGAAGATCCCTTGAGCCCAGGAGTTTGAGGTTGCTGTGAGCTAGGCTGATGCCACGGCACTCACTCTAGCCCGGGCAAATGAGTGAGACTCTGTCTCAAAAAAAAAAAAAAAAAAGTTTAGTTTATTATATCTCAAACAAGAAGCAGTACAATTAATCAAAGTATGGGCCTAAACTATTGACACAGGTTTACCATCTTAATGGTAGCTTGCTTATGCCAGCAGCAAAGAAGCCCGGAGAGCAAGTGGCATTGAAATCATGAAAGTCATTTTCCACAGCTTGTTAAGAATGGAATATTTTTCCCTGAAAGAAGTGGTCCAAAGCCTGGAAGAAGTGGTAATCAGTTGGTGCAAGGTCTGGTCTGGTGAATACAGTGGATGACAGAGAATTTCCAAGTCCAGTCTCAAGCATGACGCTCCCTCAGACACACGGATACAATCAACCCAGACGTCCTTGGTCTGAATCATGAAAATGTGGAGGGTATGGTGGAAGAAAGGGATGTTCAAAGCACTGTAAGGCTAAGCTGGGACCAGTTACTGGTGAGACTGGGCCAGTTTTGGGAGGGGGGAAAGTTCTTGCTGGGGAATTTCTGAGGATCTGTTTACCTTTCCAGTGGTGGATTCTTTTTTAACTCCATCTACCTGGCATTTTGTTAGAAATGTCAGATAGGAAAATAAAGACCATTTGAGTTAAAGAAAAAAAAACAAAAAAACCGAGCACCAGAAGCATAAGCAAGGTACCATTAACATGGCAAAACTGTATCAATAGTTTAGGCACATATTAATACTTTGATTAATTGTACTGCTTCTTGTTTGAGATATAATAAACTAAACTTGATTTGAAATTGGACATTTCATACTCATATTAATAAGAACAGTTGAAAATGGAGGAACAGAATTGAAAATAGCATTTAAAAGACTCCAGGGTTGTTTTTTGCGACATGTGGTCTTGCAAGATTGGCTTGTCTCTATTGACCAATCTCAGCTGCTTAATCACAAGCATCCTCATCATTTTGTCCAATTGGTTGCAGTAGACATCTGCTGTAATCGACTGACCAGGTTTCATGAAGCTGTTGTAGGTAAGGCCAGCAGACGACCACCAAACAGACATTAGCTTTTTGTGATGAATATTTGGTTTTGGACTGTTTGAGCACTTTATTTTTATCCAACCAGCTGCTGAACGCTTGTGATTGTCAAAAAGAATCTGTTTTTCATCACACGTAGCAATGTGGTGTAGAAATGGTTCGCCTTTATGTCCTGACAACAAAGAAAGGCAAGTTTCGAGACGACTTCTCTTCTAATGCTCGTTTAATTCATGCTGAACCCACCTATCCAACTTCTTTACCTTGCCGATTTGTTTCAAATGGTCCAATATTGTTGGAATAGTAACATCAAGCCTTGCTGCTAATTCACGAGTAGGTTGAGATGGATTCGCTTCCACTATAGGTTTCAGCTCATCATTCTCCACCTTGGTCTCAGGTCACCCAGATGGCTTATTTTTCAAGATTAAAATCACCAGAATGGAACTTCTCAAACTATCGACGTCCTGTGCGTTCAATTTGCCACATCCTTCCCAAACATTTTGTTGGTATTTCAAGCTGTCTGTGCTGCTTGGTTCCACCACAGAACTCATATTCAAAAATAACATGAAGTTTTTGACTTTATCCATGGTTTCACAAAAATTGCTTTAAAAAAAATGTGAAAGAACCCGAAGGATGGACATATTTGAAACTCGGACTTGGGTGGGGGCAAGGGCAACATAAGTAACATAAATATCTGTACCCCCATAATATGCTGAAATAAAAAAAATAAAAAAATAAAAAAATGTGAAAGATAATCACAAGCCAAAACGTGTGTTTGAAAGAATGAGGATGTACCTTCACAATTTAAAAAAGAAAAAAAAAAAGAAGTGTCAAAGTGAAACATCAGAGATATCAACTGTCAAACTTAGTACTTAAGGAAATCAGACATCCCATACTTAGTAACCTAATGCATCATTACCAAATTAATCTTTCTAAAACATAAGAGTGTTACTCTCCTACTTTAAAAAACTTCAATAGCTTCCCATATTTAGATAAATAAGTTGAAAATAGTTAGTCTGATATTCAATGCCACCATTATTTGGTTGTGACCTAGCTTCTTAACCTTATCTTGAATTATTTTACACTGAGCTACTTAGGCCAGACGTTGGCAAACTGCAGCCTGCAGACCAAATCTAGCCTGCCATCAGTTTTTGTCTGACCTGAGAGTTATGGTTTTAACATTTAAAAAAAGTTTTTTTAAATTTTATTTTTAAATTGTTTTAGAGGCGAGGTCTGGATTTGTTGCCCTGGCTGGAGTTCAGTGATGCAATTATAGACTGGAAGTCCTGGACTCAAGTGATATTTCTGCCTCAGCTGCTATAGTAGTTGGGACTACGGGCGTAAGCCACCATGCTTGGCCCATTTTTAAGTAGTTGGAAAAAAATAAAAATATCTTGTGACAAGTAAAAACAAAAAATTCAAATTTCGGCATCCTTAAAGTTTTATTCAAACATAACCACCTGTATTTATTGTTTACATATTGTCTATGGTTGTTTTCACCTTACTATAGCAGAGTTGAGAAGTTACAATAGAGACCTTAGGGCCTTATCTGACCCTTTACAGGAAAAGTCGGCCAATCTCTGACCTAGACATACTTCTGTTTCTATTTCCTCACCTATCAAGATTTCTGCTGTCACCTTTATAAGGCTGTCAAAGTAGAATTTTCAAAAAATTAAAAAACATGATTTGAATGCATTGAGGGAACCAATAAGATGGTAAAGCTGGTTCCAGAACATTTAAGAAACGAGGCCTTCATAGGCATAAAAATAAAAATCAAACAAGGTTGCAGGTTAAACAAAACTGGTTAGTTTCCGACAGAGCAATAAGATCATAACTTTTGGGTTAGGCTTTCCCTATCGGACAGAAATGTACAACTTAAGAAGTAATTTTACAATGTCTGAGCCAGTATATAATAACTAGCAAAGTCAAATACAGGTACTTTCTCCGGTAGAATCAAATATCCGTGGGCAGGCAGGTTAAACAACAGTCCCATATGAATTGAAAGACCATCCCCTGCGCTCCTTGTCTTATTTCCATGTTTTGGATAATTTTTCTTAACAAGGCCTTTTCTGACTCTTCCAGGCACAAGACTTTTTCCTTTATACACCCGTTACTTTTTGTACTTCCATTATACCACTCAGTTACCTTGATTTGTGTATTTTGTTTTCCTGACAGGCAGTAGGCTCCTTAGAATCTCAGTTTTGGGATTTAACTTCCCTTTTTAATGAGATCTGAGGTAAGGTCCAAGTTCCATAGCTCTCAATACCTCTCTTGCACAAGATAAACACTAAATACCTTATTGCTTAATATGACACCCCCAAACGCTCATCCCAAACATCTATTCTTATGTCTCCTTCATGTTCTCACTGGGGAAGTACTGGTGTATTTCTCCTTTACTCCATGTTAAGCAGCCTTCTAGTGAGCAAGTTTTTTTTTTTTTCAGTTTTTAAAATTTTATTGGCCAGGTGTGGTGGCTCACGCCTGTAATCCTAACACTCTGGGTAGGCTGAGGTAGGAGGATCCCTTGAGCTCAGGAGTTCAAGACGAACCTGAGCCCTAAGCAAGAGTGAGACCCATCTCTACTAAAAATAGAAAAAATTAGCAGGGCGTGGTGGTTGGTGCCAGCTACTTGGGAGGCTTAGCCAGGAGGATCACTTGAGCCCAGGAGTTTTGAGGTAGTTTGTGAGCTATGCTGACGCCATGGCACTCTAGCCCAGGCAACAGAGCAAGACACTGTCTCCAAAAAAAAAAAAATTACTATTTTCTCCCCAAGTTGTGATTTGAAGAGCAGTACTGTTTTGATTCTCTTGGTTATTATACCTCATCAGACCCGAACCTAGTGCAGCTGCACGAAGCGGGAGTCCAAGAGATAATGGTTTTTAAAACAGATAGGGAACCCACTCCACCAACTGATGTGCCTGGAGACACCTATTGTCCTAGCCTCTTCATTCCCAGAAACCTGGACTCTCCACTCAAATATCCTTCCTGTTTCACCGACAGCACTGACTCAAAGCAGGGGCAAATGCCCACCCCAAACGGCAAACTCTCCTCCTCAGCCAATGGCCTCGAATTTCCGCTGCCCCTATACAGGTTATCCAAACATTCCGAAAAATGGCGAAGTGGACCTAGGCCCTCGATTCTAAAGTTGTTAGCCCTTTTCCGCAATTATCACCAACACAGCCTTGTCACATATTTTTGGAGTGGAATGTTTCCTCAGTGAGCTGGTTTACTCCTACAGGAGTAACCAATGCCCCATCTCAATTCTCAAGGAAACGACTCTGCGTCCCTCTGCCTCAGCCTTTTCTCCTACTGCCAACGCAGCCGCTTGTCAGGGGAAATAGCCCAAATCGCGTGGCCGGGCAGTTGTCCGCCAACGGTTTTCTAACGCGAGACGGGAGCGCGAGAGCGGAGGCGGGAACAAGTCAGGACGGGCGGGGGAGGGGCGGCGGATGAAAGGCGGGGCCGGCGCCAGGAAGGATCGCGAAGGAGCTGGGAAGCCCCGCCCTTTCCGTAGATATCTCTAGAAAGCCGCGCAGGAGCCCGAAAACAAAGACTGCGCACGCGCGGCGGCAGGGCCCGGGCATTTTGCTGCGTCACCAGCCGCCGCCCGGCCTCACCACCCCTCGCTCGCTCGCACGCACGCACGTTCATTCTCCTTTCTCGCGCCCCTTTTCCTACACTTTCCTCTTCTCCCCGACCAGAGGAGCCGCTCCGCGCGGTGCATTCTGGGCACTCAGGTCGAGCCCGCCGCTGCCGCCGTCGCCTGAGGGGAGCGAGAAGAGGCCGCGACCGGGGATAAAACGCCGGAGTCGCCACCGGAGAGGAGCCGACTCCTTCGCAGCAGCCGCCAGAGAGGCCCACCCACCCGCTCGCCCGTCCCCTTGCCCCGTTCACAATGTGAGTGCGACACCTCGCCGAAGGAAGGTCGCCCGGGAGTGAGGCCGAGGCCGCGTTTGGGGCTGCCGGGAAGTGGTCTCGTGCCCTCCCTCCGCTTTCGGCCCCCTCCGCTTTCTCGGGCCAGTGGTAGCAGTCGTTGCTGCCTGGGGGTGGGAGGTCTGCGGTCCTTGTTCCGGTTATCGTTGGCGGGTGGAGGACATTTTTCCTCCAGATGTCCGCTTCCCCCACCTCTAAACCGTCCCTCAGCTTCCTTGTGCCGGAAATCCTACTTTCCCCTCTTTGGCGGTCTGGGTTACTCTTCTCACTCCGTAACTTAGCCCTAGGCCTTAAGCTCCTGTGAGCTTCCAGCCATGCGGGCGCCCTGGAGGCGTGGACCCTCGTGGATTGCCACTTGGCTGCGTGGGCAGTCTGGTTCTACCTCCTTGATGCTCGGACCAGGCCCAGGGCCAAGTGCACCTGTGGTGGGTGCCACCAGAAGCCTGGGGGTGCTCCTGGTGGAGCACCACGCGGCCCTCCGCGGTGAGCGGCAGGTACTGCTAGGCAACTGTAGGGAGGCCATGCCGTCACCACAACTTACTTCCTTCTCCTGTGTCTGCTTTTTTGAGTATGCGTACTTCAGGCATACTAACTCCAGTCTCCTGAAAAGAGGAGAGGTCGCCAAAACTCAGCCGCTTCCCTGGTAGCGAGGAGGAGTTACCATTGAGCAGGTAGTTGTGCACGTGTCGAGTGGAAAGCTACTTGTGGACGATTTTTGGGTTCTGCATTGAACTTTGGGTGAGGTTTCATTATTTGGGCTCAGTGTGGGATGAAATAGGTATGTGATTAAATTCTTCTAAAGAGTTTAAATTTTTTCAGGTGGAGATGACTACAGATTATTTAGCGACGTTAGTTTTATTATGATGAAGGATAACCTTGGTGATTTTAAGCAAGTAAGAATTCTTGGCCCTGCCACTTCCGTTCCTTAACATACTTCTCAGGAAAAGTTTTGCCTTTTGCGAGAACTGCCACTTTTATAGGGTTTGGAGTTCTTTTGTTTTTTGATCTGTGGTGGTTTTGTGTGTGTGTGTTTGTCGTTTTAGGTACTCTCTGCGCCTAAAATTTCGGTATGGAGAGCAACGGAAAGGAACAATTTTTATTCGTATGGGAAGTAATGCTTTCAAGGGGTCACTTAATGATAATAACGATGAGTATGTTGGCTAGAAATCTATATGGATAAGTAAGGGGTACAGTAAAGCCAGTCGATGACAGAACAAGCTTCCAGAAACATACATTACTGTAAAGGCGTATATTAGAATTTTGGAGGATCCTTCTCCTCCCAAAACATGATATCTAATAGAAGAATACTTATTTATTTTTGAGATGGACCCTCACTCTGTCACCCAGGCTGTGGAGTGATAATAGCTTACTGTAATATCGAATTCGTGGGCTGAAAAGACCTTCCACCTCAGCTTCCTGAGTAGCTGGAACTACAAGTGCTGCATACCACGCCTGGCTAAATTTTGAAAAATCTCTTCATAAAGAGACAGGTCCAGCTATGTTGCCCAGGCTGGTCTCGAACTCCTGGCCTCAAGTGATGATTCTGCCTAGGCCTCCCAAAAGTCCTGGTGTTGCAGGTATGAGCCACCATGCCCAGCTAATATAGAGCTTTTTGAAAAAATAAACCTTTATAAAATAACTTCGGCCACTTTTCTCTTTGAAATCCTTTCTAAGTGATGTAGCAAAGATTATCAATCTTAAAATGCCTTTTACATTTGGAAATCTTCTTTAATTTTATTTATTTATTTATTTAGTTATTTATTTATGAGACAGAGTCCCATTCTGTTGCCCTGGCTAGAGTGCCGTGGCATCAGCCTAGCTCACAACAACCTCAAACTCCTGGGCTCATGCTATCCTCCTGCCTCATCCTCCTGAGTAGCTGGGACTACAGGCATGCACCTCCATGCCCAGCTAATTTTTTTCTATGTATTTTTTAATTGTCCAGATAATTTCTTTCTATTTTTTTTAGTAGAGACGGGGGTCTCACTCTTGTTTAAGCTGATCTTGAACTCCTGACCTTGAGCCATCCTCCCGCCTCTGCCAGAGTGCTGGGATTGCAGGCTTGAGCCACTACACCCGGCCTATATTTGGAAATCTATAGGAGAAAATGAATTGTCAGATAAGACACTGCCAACTTTTTTTTTTTCCTTTGCATTTCTTTTTGCAGCTACAAGTTCTACAACCAACTTTTTTTTTTTTTTGAGACTGAGTCTCACTCTGTTGCCCTGACTAGAGTGCCGTGGCATCAGCCTAGGTCTCACAACAACCTCAAACTCCTGGGCTCATGCTATCCTCCTGCCTCATCCTCCCGAGTAGCTGGGACTACAGGCATGCACCGCCATGCCCGGCTAATTTTTTTTTTCTATATGTTTTTAGTTGTCTGATTAATTTCTTTCTAATTTTAGTAGAGATGGTGTCTCGCTCTTGCTCAGGCCGGTCTCGAACTCCTGACCTTGAGCGATCCGCCCGCCTCAGAGTGCTAGGATTACAGGCGCGAGCCACCTCGCCCGGCCCACAACCAACTTTTAATAGATTTGTAGCCAAACATATGTTTTCACAAATAAGTACCATGTTCAGAATGGCTTGAAAAAACACCCTCTGGAGGTAACATAAAATAGTTATTACATGTAAGAAATGGGCGGGTGCAGTGGCTCACGGCTGTAATCCTTCCAGTCTGGGAGGCTAAGGCAGGAGGACTGCTTGTTGGAGACCAGCCCGAACAAGAGTGAGACCTTACTAAAAATAGAAAGTATTAGCCAGTCGTGGTGGCTATAGTCCCAGCTACGTGGGAGGCTGAGGCAGGAGGATCTCTTGAGCCCAGTAATTTAGGCTGACGCCATGGCACTCTACCCTGGCTAACAGCAAGACTCTCCCAAAAACAACAACAACAAAGTAAGAAATGGTTATGTAAGTAGATTAAAAACTCAGATGAAAAGTGTAGCAGTTGATAGTCCAAAAAGCACTCTCTCTAGTTAAGACAATGCCACCTTCAAAACAAGTGTTCTGAAGAGACTAGATAAATCCTCTTTAAAACGTTCAATATGTGCCATCTTGTAAATTTTTCAGGGGCTCTTACCACACCAGTGATTTAAATGAAATTATAAAATGAATATTATGAGTCATTTGGTACTGGAGAAACCTTGAATGGGTCATCCAGTCCTAGGAAAAATCCAGCCCATAATGGTTAGTTTTGTTGGTTTCCATTATAAAGTTTTATTAGATGTAGAGAGAGACATTTATATTTATGCTAGATGTCTTAAGGGCTTGTAGGATGTTTTTTGTCATTTTAAAGCCCTTTATTAGTGATTTCATAGTTAAATTTCTTTAAATCTTTTAAATTATAAAAGTTTTGTCCAGTAGCGTATAGACAAGCTCTTAATTTCACACCTACCTAGGAGGCGGCTAGGATTTTAGGACCTCTCCCTCATTTAAGACCTAACCTTGCAGAGAGTACTACTTAGTATTTTCTTTTTAAATTAGCTATTGTTGGACCAATTCATAGGTATAAAATATTCTGTTTACTTTTGAGGTATTTGAAATATTTGAGATACTACATTATAGTGCCTCAGTGTCTTGTATTTAAATTAATAAATTGTCCAGAAACATACTGTGACTGTCTCTAACTTTGGTTACAGTCTTTGCCATCAATCAACTTTGCAGGAATTAATTCCAAAAATAAAATTGTCTTTAGCCTTGAAAACAAATTGTCATGATTTACAGTTAATTTCTGTAAGAGAAGAGTATCTGATGATGGCCTTTGTTCAGTATTGATTTTCTAACCACTAACCTGGTAACTGGATTCCCCCCCCCACCCCCCTGCTCTGTTAGGTTTTAACTAGAAGGCAGTGGAAACTGGAAGAGACAAATTACTCCAGTGCAGTATTTTATTGCTAAATTAAGATTCTCCTGTTTAATTGGATTTTCTCAGTTTAAAAATGTAGAAGCTATATCATTTGGGGGTTTTATGTGGTTAGTGATAGTTCCTTTTCAGGAAAAAAAAATGCCTTTGTAATAATATCAGCTGTTTAGAATCGACCTAGCTCTTAAACACCTAACATCATATTTTATTTGGGCTTTTAATTGAGAATTGTTGCATCTGGTGTATTTTGCTACAGAAATACAAAGTATGTTGTACTAAATTTTTTATTACTTACTGTATGGATTGGCAATAATAACAGATTTATTTATTTATTTATTTTTTGAGGCAGAGTCTCACTGTGTTGCCCGGGCTAGAGTGCCGTGGCGTCATCTTAGCTCACAGCAACCTCAAACTCCTGGGCTCAAGCGATCCTCCTGTAGTTTTAGTAGATCTTGCTCTTGCTCAGGCTGGTCTCGAACTCCTGAGCTCAAACAATCCGCCCGCCTCGGCCTCCCATTCTATATATTTTTAGTTGTCCAATTAATTTCTTTCTAATTTTAGTAGAGACGGGGTCTTGCTCTTGCTCAGGCTGGTTTCGAACTCCTGAGCTCAAACAATCCGCCCGCCTCGGCCTCCCAGAGAGCTAGGATTACAGGCGTGAGCCACCGCGCCCCGCCAATAATAGATTTTTAAATGAGGCTGCTTCCCCAGTACACCTTTGAACTTTTGGTTTTCCAGGAAGATGCCAGTTACTTTTAACCTTAGCTTGAGCAGTATGCTCTCCCCTCATAGTGTATTCCAAAGCTGAATAAAATGTACTGTTGTGAATTTTCTGTGCCACAATTTCTCTTCACATACAGCCATACTTTATTGGTAGTGTTCATGCCAGGGCCCTTTCTTTTCTGTCTCAGAGCATGTTTAGTTATGTGTATTGAAAGGATTTAAATCACAGGTGTTCTAAGTTAAAAATGTTTAATAATATTAGAATACAGGATCTAAGTCTTAAAACGTCTATTCAGAAAGCACTAATAGTATCATAAAAGGGGTGTTCGGAATAGTATTGGAACCCAGGATTTCTGACAGAAGGCTTATATTTTCCACTTCA